AAAAAAAAAAAAAAAAAAAAAAAAAAAAAAAGAAAAAAAAAAAACCCCAAAAAACAAAAAAGAAACAAAACAAAACAAAAAACAACAAAAAAGAAAGTTTATATCCCAAATCTCACAATGCCTTTCATAGAGTAAATATCTGAATCATCTCCTTACAAAAGAAGTAACATTTGCAAAATGCTTTCTTGGCTATGTTGCAAGAAATGCTGACTTTAAATTCATGCCTACCCAGGAGGTTCAGGTATTGAAAAAAATCGGCCTCACAGAGAGACTGCTAGCATGGGGGGGGGGGGCAGTTGTGAGGTGCCTGAGCAGAGATGGCTCAAGAAATTTGTACAGAATTCAACAAATGTTCTCTGGGCGCCTTCCCAGTATACAAACACAGAAACTCCTATATCCAGAGATCATGGAAGGAGATCATTACCTATGCTTATCAGGCTTTGATAATCATAGTTTAACCTTGTCGTCATTGGAAAGTAACCTACCTTGGTTTCAGTGAGATTTTGCATTAACAGCTGTATGGTTGATCACCTAATCCATTCATACATTGGCAGCCATTTCCTGAATGTAATCCCCACACCTATCCCAGCACTGAGTTTGTTCAAGTAAATGCGGTGGCAATACAACAAACCAGCAGTAATTCTTCTACAGTGTCACACATATTATGAACATGCACTCACGTGACTTGCACTCTAAGGTGCAATGACTGCTCAAACCACATCCTTTTACAAGAGGAAAGAGGGGCCTGAAAGGAGCTTTTCCAAAGGATTTTGAGTCCTGAGCGATGAAGAATGATGCAGTGCTGGGCAGAGGATTAGAACCAGGGGGCAGGGAGAAGAGGAACAGAGAGAAAACCTAGAAAGGAGAGGCATGAGGGGGGCCCAAACACAGCTGTTAACCGAGGTGAACTCCTAGTCCCATTACAACAGCATCTGTCGGGAACGAGACAGCACTGATTAGCACAAAGAGATCTGGTCTATCTCAGAGCCTCTGCTGCAGGGGAGGGGTTCTGAGACTAGGGTCTATCTCAGAGCCTCAGTAGCTGGGTAGGGGTTCTGAACTTGGGGTCTTTCTTAGAGCCTCTGCAGCAGGGGAGGGGTTCTGAGACTAGGGTCTATCTCAGAGCCTCTTCTGTAGGGGAGGGTTCTGAGTTTGGGGTCTATCTCAGAGCCTCTGCTGCAGGGGAGGGGTTCTGAGTTTGAGGTCTATCTCAGAGTCTCTGTTGCAAGGGAGAGGTTCTGAGTTTGGGGTCTATCTCAGAGCCTCTGCTGCAGAGGAGGGATCCTGAGATTGGGGTCTATCTCAGGGCATGTGCTGTGGAGGGGAGTTCTGCATTTGTCTAGCAAAAGAGGAAATTTTTGCGTTTTCTTTTTTTTCTCAACTGTCTTCAGCTACTCAGCGTGGACTCATCTTGTCCTAGGTGTGGGTTGGGTATGGCTGCTTCTGATACACAGAAGCCAGGAGGCACAAATGACCTGGAACTTCCTCAGGTTATAAAGAGGAAGTGAGGGGCCAGCAATGTGGGATGAAAGGTCACATTATCTACAGGGAGGCTGCTGAGGACAAATGAGCCATGATAAAGGCTGAATATCTGGAAAGAAGGGAGTGTAAGGGAGATATGGTATACACGTGATACAGTGGTATAGATGTGGATACAGTGGTATAGATGTGGATACAGTGGTATAGATGTGGATACAGTGGTATAGACGTGGATACAGTCAGGGCTCAGAAGGCTCTAAGCCAAGGATGCTATTCTGTGAGTTTTCTCCCATCACAAAGCTCTGTAAGTCAATTGCTCTTTCTTTCAGAACTGGCTGTTACCACACAGATGCTAAAAACATTTGTGCTGCTGAATTAATGGCTGGTGAAAGTTGAAACTTTCATGTTTTTCTGCTCTGGGAAGAAGTTATGATATTAACGTCAGTTTGGCTGAAGCTACCCAGGAAAGTTTTGTAATCCAAAACAGACCAATTCTGCAATGACATGCTGCGTTTCTAGACAGTGTCTTCTTCTTCTTCTTTTTTTTTTAACTTTATTTATTTATTGGAGAAGAAGGCAGTAACAAAGGTTGGCCTTGGTTGGGAGGAGGATGGAGAGGAAGGCAGGTAGGAAGAAGATACACGACTTTATGGTTACAAGCTCAAAGACAAACAGTACAGAGCCTCTTAACCCCTCCCACCAATGCACAGAGAAGATGTCCGGGACATTTCTAATGACCAAACAGGCATCTAAAAAGGGAAACACATGATGTCATGGAAACAACACGTGTCAGCAGTCTGAAGAGCAGGGATGTCCTCTTCGCTTCTCCTCCGTGGCCTCTGAAAGCACAGAAGCGGTGGAGGGGGGAGGGGCGCTCCCACAAGTCTGAAGAATAGTTTACTTTCTCTTTGCTTTCAGAGTTTGATCTCCAATTTTATTCATGGTCATAAATATCTAAGACTTCAGGGGTTTGCATGATATGGAATTTCCAAGGGGGACGACATGAAGAAATTTTGTTTTTAATATTAGAGATTTCATTACCCTGAACCATCTGTGACATTTCCCTGTGTTGTAACACTTGGATGTAGTTCATGGAATATTCCAGGCTCTCACAAGAAGATTCACTTATCTCTTTCTGGCCTGTAAACCAGTCCAGTAGAGTTCCAGCTTGCAACAAACAGGCAATTCACTCAACCAGAAATCATGTTATCTCATCTCCTAAGCACGACACCTGGTAAGTTTCTAGCCCTAAAGCTGCCCGCCTCGTTTTCATCACCTGGTTTTCTTTAAAAAAAAAAAAAAAAAAAGTTTATTTACTTTTGAAAATTTCATTCATGTATATTTTGCTCATACCTACCCCTCACTTCCCTGGCCCAAACTTACCCTGGATCACCAGTCAACATATCTCCTTCTCAATATTGGCATTATGTCCTCCCACCCATCTCATTACATACTGAGTCCAATTACAGCCACCCAGATATGCCTGAGTCTGGGGTCATTCACTGGCAAATGTGCAAGCCACATTCCCAAAGAGAAACGAGTCTCTCTCCCTCCCTTCAAAGCCATCAGCTGCCAATAGCTCCTCAGCTGGGGGTAGGACTTCATGGGCCCCTCACCTATCATTCTTATACATGTCTTATACATGTAACCACAGGTGCTGTGTGTTCATGCGTACACCAGCCGTGTCGTGTGCAGAGGACATTATTTCCCAGCATTTCTCTGTATCCTCTGGCTCTTACATTCTCTCTGCCCTCCCTTCTACGATGTTTCTTGAGTCTTGGCGTGGGGCACAGGCAGATGATATAGATATCTCATTTAGTGCTGTGCCTCTCTTAGGACATTAACCATCTACAGCAAAAAGAAGCTTCTCAGACCAAGGCTCAGACTGGCCTCCTCCCTAGGACATTTCTGTTTGCAAGCAATATTAGCAATGCTTTTTAAGTCTGCAGTGAATGAACCATAGTGGGACATGGGTAGACCAGAAGTCCAAAAGCAGGCTCCCCCCCGAGATGTTGGATTCTTGTCCCCAGGGTATATTGTAAAGGGAAAGAGTGAGGAGACAGATGGTGATAGTGTATCTCAGCAGAACTAAGCGGCAACAGCATGACCGGGTCTCAATAAAATACCCATGCCAAAGTCCCCTTAGAGGGCTTCCAGCCTTAGGCACTTCCATTTTGAAGGCATAAAGCTCTTACTCTCCCTTTTTCTGTGGCTCAGTCTTCTGTCATTTCCTGACGTTCAGTTCTTTGTCTGTACTAGGGAATGAACTTGGCAGTTCCCTAGACAACCTAGACCTCCATTATATGCAGGTACCGTGGCCAGTGGACATACATGCAATAACAGTAATAATCATATCAGTAGTAATAAGAGGCAACCGGTGACAACGCTTTACTGGAAATGTTGTGAGATTCATCAGTCACATCCCAAAGACTTCATTGATTACTAGCCTGTTAACAAGCCTCACATACATACCAGGCTCATACTTATTGCTGGCGATGAAGACTCTGCCTTCCAAGAGCTGATTGTCCAGCAATGAAGACAGGCCTGAACTATCCCAGGCTAATTCTTCTCACAGGACTGCTCAGCTCATTAACCCCTGAAGGGGAAGTATATGGATGCCTTTGCTTTCTGGGTCATCCACTGCCACACAAACATCCTCATTATAAGACAATTTTTTTTTTCTCTACAGAAGCTCATAACCTTTGAATGAAACAATGGAAGTAATTATTTGTCAACTCAAGAGCCAGAGAGTAACTCCACTGTCGTTAATAAAATTGCTCGGTATCCATGCAGTAATTTGAGTTATTCATATGGAATACGAGGAAGTAGAGACTGGTCACAAGCTGTCTTGGGTTGTCTATGGCATAAACCAACAAGCTTGGGGGTATGTGTAGCTGGGGGGAGGGGGAGAACAGGAGTGTCCTCTGGGGCTTGGGGAACATGCTGCTGTAGGTGCTCTCAGGGACTGCAGAAAGTCGTCCTGCCAGCAGTCAGAAAAAAACAAGAAACCACAGCAAGGTGACAGAAAAAGTGAGGCCAACATGTGGCCTTGCTGCAAGCAGAAGAATCGTCAAGTTTGGAAGGCACATGAGTTACTGTGGATTCTGAGGGGCCCTTAGCTTCTACAGTTTTCTCAATCATTCTAGGTGATATTGATAGAAGAGGAGCTGGAGGGGTGAGAAAGGGGGGCAGCCTACCTTTAGCAATGGTGGAATCACGTCCTCAATTAGGAGTGAGCCTCTCAGAGGCACTGAGAAGGACAGACCAAGGAGATAGGAGAGCTGGGACATGTTGGAAACAATGGACAAAGTACATACAGATGGATACTGTAGACACGCTGTCCTCCTGCCCATTAAATCACCTCAGGGTCTTTGTCAAAGCTAAATATTCTTGAATGTTTTTAACTGAACTGAATTTCACTTATAGGCCAAGATATGGAACGAGAGTTAGATTGCTAAATGATGTTCTTGGATCAAGGAGTGTACCCAACTGAAACTCCTAATGGCCTTTCCTTATTGTTGTCTCGTCAAGGAGGCACGCTGAAAAGACGCCGAGAATGTGACATGAAGAACAGACAATCTACTGGTCAACCACACAAACACACGCAGTTCATCTACTGCAAAGATTGCACTCTTAGAGGACAAACAGGATGTCACAGAAGCTAATCAAGGTCAAGGTAAGATTCCAAGATAAGGGTCTACCTCCTGAGAGTCGGGGTCAAGCCATTTCCTGGACACTCTCTCAGTGCCTCAGTGGATTGAGTTAGAACACAAATGTCGCACTCTGAACAAATTCAGACACCAGTTAGGGAAAGATTCCAGAAATCTCAGCATCCAGCTCATACTCTAGTTTCCTGGCAAGGAGCAGTTGTTGGGGATGTGCATCTCCAGGGCCAACGGTTTCTCCAAAAGGAGAGCTGGAATCAGACACTTCCGCCATATCCCGTTGTCTCAGACAAGGGATGCCAGTGAATTCGGAATCTACAATCTCACTTTGTCACAACTCACAGAAAAGGGATGTTGATTTTTACCGTCTTACAAATCGTTTATGGAGGAAAGCACTTGATATGTTGTTAGAAAGTTGCTTCAGCGGGACATGAATTAACTGAACATGACGTTAGGGCTGCAGAGCATCTATGTAACAGAGTGCCCAGCATGTGCGAGATCCCGACTTCCATCTCCAGTACCAGAAACAACATGAAAAGCAAAGAAATGCAAAAACATTGCCGTCTGAGGCTTCTTATCAGCTTAGATGTGGAATTCAGATCTTATTGGTACCATTTCCCCGATAATGCCAGCTAGCTATGAGGAGGGTGGGGTAGGAGTCTCACACTTACTGGAAACACATATCAACAACAATTCTTTTCTTCTTAAACTTTGAAAGTAAAAGAAAGGGGTTGTTAAAAATAAAAGCCCTGTTAAAATATATTGTGTTCAGTCTTCCTTTCTAACTTGACTCTTTTAAGTAAGGTAAACACATTCCCCCTTTGCTTGATGTTACACAAACTTTTCCCAGAAGATTTGGGGTAACCTGTCAAGCAGCTGGTCATATTTCAATCTGCCAGGCCTAGGCCTGCAAACCCTTTATCTTCACGTGGCCTGGGGTGCTTTCCTGAGGACAGCAGGTTTAGGCCTATTTCAGCTGGGCAGCTCTATCCCGAGGCTCTGGGCATTAACTGAGCTGTAGTCATTTCTGGAGGACAAAATAGAGTCCCCTCAGCTTGCACCTGGCAGAACCTTCTCAAATGCCCGAGGCAGGGTAGGTGTTGAGGCAGGCTCACTTAATGACCAGACACAGCTCATGGCCAGAAGGGTACACACAGTCGCAGATGGACTCCCGACGTTTTCTATTGGCTTTTACAATGGTATCAACTGTTATCTACTTAGCCTGCCCTGCTCTAGTTCTGTAGCTCCAAGCCCGAAAGAACAATTGCTTGTAAGAATTTTACAGAGAGAAAGGACACATACTAACACCAACTTGTGCTAGAAAGTTTAACCCTCACCCCCTGCCTCTGATTCTGAGGTAAGAGTATAATCACAAAGCCCTCACAAGAGGCTCTGACTGTTGGATTTACAGGCACAATCTGTCAAATGTTAGAAGCCAGCCTTGTGTAATCTCTTCATTCCCTTTGTTCAAGGCCTAGTCCTATACAGATCATCTCTCAAAGGAACCTCAATCTTCCTGGCAGCAGAATCAAGGTTCTCATGACAATAACGTTAAACGTTCTCTGTTATTATAAACCTATCCAGGAAGCTTTGGAATTCTAGGATGCCCTCCTCATAAGTCTTCCTGAAGGCCAGGACATGTCACCCACAGTCACCACCCACAAACACATACAGCATTCTCGATGCTCTGCTAAGTACTTCCCGCCACGTGCCCGCAGAGAGCATGCTTTCAGAAATCAGCCTTTTGTGGCGGCCCTACTTCACAGCAGTCGGTGGAATAGGTCAGGACCACTCTCCCTGGGGAATCTGCCTGTCATCCAAATCAGCTTCTTCCCCGTGGTGTCTGTTGCTTTGCTAGTGACAAATGTCCCCTTACTGATAACAGCCAAGCCCACAAGTCACCCATTTTGACTAGTTCCCTTGTTTGTTTTGCTTTTGTGGATCAGCTAATCTGTAAGGTGCCCACACAATATGGGCATTACGTAGTAGGCATTTTACCACAGAAGATGGGCCTACTTTCCTTCCGGATGGTGTTGCATCCTTTACAGTGTGCAACAGATCTCACTGGTTCAGCAGACATTCATTATCCCAAAAGGGAGCAAGGCAACTTTTATCCACATTCCCATCCCAGCTGACAAATCATTTCAATAAAATAATACACAAATTCCCCTTCAAGGATGAGATTCAGTTAAGACATTTATTCACCTGGAGTATTTTAGACTTTATTGTGAAGAACTTGAAAATTTCTGATCCCTGTATAATACCTGCAATGGGCCATAAATGATTGCTTTTGTTATCGCTTGCAAGCATATTGATGCTTTGTTATTAAAGGCAAGAAATACTGTGCAGAGATTGCTAGAACTAGGCAGAGGAGTCTGAGTTCTAGTTACTGCTAAACAATAGGCTAACTGTGCGGTTCTCTAAAGAGCCAGTTTCCAGTAAAGGGGACGTGGGCTATGATTTCCAAGTTCTCTTTAAGTGTCCCTCTAGTGTAACAAATGGACCAGGCAAAGCCACGAGAATACACAACATCTTGGAAGAAGACCTGAAAGTCACTTCTTATCTCATTGCTCTTCAGGGTCTGCAGTTTGGGGCTATACAGACACACCTCTTCCAGCCAGCTTTCCTAGAGGGTGTAAGTCTCCATGTGGGCATAAGACCATGTGTTTCTAAGAAGGACTAGAACATGCAGGAGCAAGATGGCTGCTGTATTATGCTTCAGACCCTTTATTTTTAGACAACATATCATTCGACCATCACTCCAACATGTGATAGATAAAATGAGAACTGAGGTTTAGATGTATTAAGTAACCAAGTGGGCAAGGACCGAGTGGCAATAAAAGCCTTCCTTGTCTGACTCTAGGGCTGGTACATGGCTCAGGGCTCCACCTTAACACTCCGGCATCACAAGTAGTTGTGTAAAAGTAAGGTGGAAAATTCGATTACTTGAATTTCAGGGAACACACCCATCAGAACAGGAAAATAAAGGAGTCAGATATCAGCAGGTATTGGGAAAGCTTTCATGCAACAGAAACTTCCGGATGTCTCTCCTGAAATATAATTTGTCACGACAGCTTTTTGGTGACATCTTCCAACTTTCTAAAGTTGGCCTACGACCCAGCAATCTCCTCCTACAACCCAACAGAAGCAATCAGAAAAGTGTACTAAAAACACATGTGATAATATAATAAACTCATAGTCACCAAAACCAAAATAAAACACAACAAAGATTGGGAAACAATCGCCAAATCTACCGGTGGTGGATGGGATGGATAAACACAGCACGACACTCTTATGGTGGAGCTGTCCATCACGAGAACAAAAGCAACACAGCTACATGGAACCACAGGAAAGTATTTCTATATTATGAGAGAGAGAAGCCAGAAGCACTGGGTAGTTATTTCCATTTATATAAAATGCCAAAGCAGGAAAACAGGCTTCCAGGAACATCAGGCGAGGGGTTACCCTACACCTAAGAAAGCACAAAGCATGCTGGGGTTTTAACGGTGGCCTTGTCTCCCGTCTGAACACTGTCTCCAAAGAGCTGATTGGTTTATAAATGTCCTCAAACTACCCAGCTTGCCGCTTGCCTATTTTCAGACTGCAGCCCAGCAGTGTTTATGCATGGGAAGGTACTAAGAGACCAGATATAGTGATTATTTGCCTCAGAAAACTTTCCAGTCAACCACAAATGATCTGCAGAAGGTGAGTGGCTTTTACTTGTTTGCTTGTTTGTTTTTGCTGTTGATCACAAAGAGTCGCTAGGAGTGGGTTGATGGCATGAGTATCTCAGTGGTCTGCAATAGGGTAGACACAAAAGAGGCAGAGAAGCCCAGGTTCTCCCAGAGCTTAGAGAACTCAGAAAAGGCATGTCTTTCTGAAATGCATGCTGCTTATCCTCCTTGTCCTGGGAGAATGCACTTTTAGAGGACTAACAAGACTAAAATCACTCTGCAGTCAGTGCAGGGACTGGGGAGTGTTTTCTCAGACACTTCCCATCACAGACTCCCTTCGGTGTGAGATGACTCAGTTTGGAAATGGTTCCTGGGATTACTAAGGCTGCCAATGCATGATCAGATTCTATGATCTTGGTCACTTTGGGTTGTCCCATTTAGTCACTGCAATTGTGACAGAAACACAGCAGTACTACTGGCCTTGTGTCATTATTAGATAAGGTGTTAGGGAACAGGTTACTCTAATTGATTGAAATTTCCATTTAACTGAGAGACTTTCTGTTTAACCGAGGGCTAACTCTCAGTCTCTAACTTGACTTTCAAAAATCTTTCTATAGCGCATGGGAGTCCCTGTTCTGATGCCACTACAGCCCTCTCAATGACAAGGGTGTCAGGGTCAACATGCCACCTACTCTTCACTTTCCAAAGTATACTACAGGGTCACTGCATGTTTATGAAGCTTTGTTTTGTCTTCTTTGACAACTCTCTGGACCATCACGACAAAACTGATTCCTGTTCATTATTTTTATTCTTTTGGATTTTTGAAACGGGATCTCACAGTGTAGCTCTGGCTGTCCTGGAACTCACAATGGAGATCAGGCTGGCCTCGAGCTCCCAGAGAGTCTCCTGCCTGTGCCTCCCAAGTGCTGGCATTAACGGCACGTGCCACTACGCCTGTCTTGATTCCTGTTTAGAAGGCATCTGATGTTGTGGTTAGTTCAACTACAAAGCTACATGCTGTACTAGAATGCACACAGCAGATAGGGATCCTGGCACTGACTGTCTGTCATTAATGACTTTGGCCCCTTAACAAATGCCATAGGGTTTTACAGTATACATAAAGACCACGAAGTCACCAAATCTCAGCTGGTATTCATCCTCATTGCTTCTGATTTCATGAGCTGCTTGGGAAAAGCCATTTTCATATGAAAAAAGACAAGATAAATCCCTCAGACTCAGGTTCCTGGTTTGGACAAACTGCAGCCCTTGGGTCCACAAGGTTCTGCCAGGGTCCCATGAGTCTGACTGTGAGGCTACGTCTGGTCAATGACATGACACCTGACTAGAAGTGTCAACTCCCAACTCACCTGTGTCTGCCTCTAAGTTATAGGTTAGAACCATAGACCAAGCCCCATGCGGTATCCCCCACTCCACCCCATCTGATTCAGTCTGTCACCTGGTTGTTCAGCTCTTACCATGGCCAACATGTTTGCGACCCTGCCTAGTGCCTGTCTTAGATTACTCATGCAGACTGTTAGGAACTCCAAAACTTGGAAAGCTCTCTGTAAGGAAAAAAAAAAAAAAAAAACCTGGCTACAGCTGTCACAATGCTGTGACTAAGCCATCCTTAGAGCAGTGCTGACATCCAGGTGAGTCGCTGGGGATCCTAGAAGGTTTCCAGTAATCACCGTATTCTGCTGGTTTCACCCACTTCTCACCCTGCCTTTTAAGGGAAGTTCCCAGCCCCCAGCAGGAGAGCTGCTGTTGTTCTACTGCCTAGAGACCCTGTGTTCATCAACCTGAGCATCTCAGAGGAAACCGCCGAGACCAGGTGTCTTTATCCATCTCACCCTGAGAACCAGCTGTCTTTATTCACCGTGAGCCTGAGATCTCTACTCCCTCTCATTGCCTCTTTCAGATCGGTGTTCCTACCCCAATTCCTGCCCTCAGGTGACTCTCAACGAAATGAGGTAATGTGAAAAATGCTTGGCACAGGAGAACATGTCATAAGGGTCTTTATGTCACCTCCTTCCTGTTTCCAAAAGTCTCCTCTTCTTGGCATTACCCAGGTCCTCCTAAATATGGTACTTACCTGTCCTTTCTCCAGTGGGTTGCCAACATAAAAGGATAAGTCCTTTCTAAAAAAACTCCCTCAGAAAACACCTAATGCCCTTCTCAAGTTAATACTTGCCTGTGTTTGATTCTATCTTCATTTAAGCCACTTAACTAAACTCGCCCACTCCTAAGATAAAAGTGGCTCACATTTCCCATCAAGAATTAATTTCTATAGGATTATATCCAGTCTAGGCAGTCACGATATTTTTAAGTCACATTTCGAGTGATTTAAAAGCTACTAACCTATTCATCACGGCAAGGGGGCGTGGAGCACAATGGGTCCTGCCCAGGAAACTGGACTCCGTGGCTAATAAATAAAAGGTGTGAAGTTACCAAATCAAAAAGAAACAGAAAAAAGAAAAGCAGAGCTAGCGAGCCAGATGAAACCTGCCTACTTGGGGAGCTGCTCCAAAACTGATTACTGTGGATTGCAAATCATATCCTGGTTGATTGAGCCCCAAACCACAAAATGTCTAAAGAATGAAGCAAAACACTTTAGTTCTAGTGCTGTGAGATGTGACTGGATTGGAGTTAAAGGACTCAGCCCCACCAGCCAAGAGGGAGCAGGCACACTGGATACCCCCACCCAGCTGGCAAGATTTCTCGGGAAGAGAGCAGTCAGCTGTCTGCTAGCATTCAGCGACTCCAAATCCAATTTCTATGCTTTCTGAATCAGTTCCTGGGATATAAATGGAAGAGGGAGAAAGCAACAATGATGCTTCCAAGAATAAAAGCAGTTGCAGGTCTGGAATCCCCCCAAAACTCCACTCACTGGAGGAAGCTTTTCAGGAGGCTCTCGGATCCCCTTCATCTCTGCATAGCGTCAATAGAAAATGAAATCACTCCCCATCCTGGCTTCAGAATGCTTCTTCAGCTACTTCACACCTGGGCCCAAGATCTGCCAAGGGCCAGCTGGTCATGTGCAGTCTAGTGGATGATCGCCAGTGAGAGGCAGAAGAAAGGGGAACAAGCAGAAACCAGTCCGAAGTAAAGCATACAAAACAGTATTTGAAATTCTACTTCTGGTTAGGAACAGGAATCGTCAGGAAATCTCAGGAGCTATGGGACAGGGTGGCTGCTTCGTCTTTGATTTCTGTTAGGAATGCTCTTGAACAGTCTTGGTTTGGGATACATGCTAAGACAATGATAAATGATTTAATATTTGTAAGACATTTAAGATGTAAAACAAAGGTTTGTAGAATCACTGAGGTTAGTGTAAATCAAGGGATTGGGCGTTCCCAAGCTCTGCCTCTCCTACTGTGGCAGGACCACCCCACACTGAAGGACATGGTCTTAGAAGATAGAGCAGCCTTCGGTGCAACAGCTCAAAAGAGCACTTCTGTTTCGTTGTTCACTCAGATTCATAGAAATAGCTGTGCCCACAGGGATTCACGCTCTCTCTCTCGTTGACTCCATTCCTAGTTATACAAAGATACAGGCAAGAAGAGATCACAGATGTCATATTTAGAATTTATACACAAGGTATATTATATACAGCTTTAGAATAGTAAGTTTCTCAAAAACAAGAAAGAAAAGAAAAAGAAAAAGAGAAGGGAAAAGAAGGGAAGGGAAGGGAAGGGAAGGGAAGGGAAGGGAAGGGAAAGGAAGGGAAGGAAGAACTTAAAAGTTTCTTTTTTCTGGAAACTCTTTGGAAATTCTCACAAGAATTTTAAGATTCTTTCTCTCCTAACCCACAACAGCATCTTATAGTTTTCTACTTCTACAGCAAATGCTCATATGTTCTGACACTTTCCCCTCAAGCCCTAACGCTCTTTCAGATTTGGTTATGTGAGTAACCATGCTGAATAGAAAAGGTCCTAGGCCCAGGTACTGCATAGCTAATGTGCCCCACTCACCAGGACAGAGCTAGCTCCCCTTTTCCTTGCAAAGACTCTCAGCTGAGAACTCTGTTGGTGCACTTTGAAACAGAGGATGGTTTCCTATGCTTAGTTTGTTTGCTAAAATGCCCCACAGGGCAGACTTCCATTGCCAGGAAAGAAACCCAATCTAAGACCTTCACATTGTCAAAATTTGTCCTGGGGAACAAAGGTTCACACCTAAGCACAGAGGAAGTATCACTTTAAGGGCTGACATGAAATCAAGTCTCCCTGCCCCGGTAAGGTTCTGACTAACACTGACTCACATGGGAAAGACAGGAGGGCATTGAATCTCTGCTTTCCAACCTGCCCTGTCTTGCTTTCAGTGCAGTCTCTGGCATAGGAGTTGCTTCCAGCCAGCAGCTAGTGTTGCTTCCTTGTAGAAGGTCCTTGATTTTTAATTTATTTATTTTAAGAATCATGAGACTATATCTCAAGAGCAAAGTATGCTTAATGCTAGTTAGCTGTGGACACATGCCAACACTGACAGCTATTTTATTCACACACACACATGCGTGCGCACATACACACACACACACACACATACACACACGCATATTTTTAACAGGAAAGCATGCCTATCAGCTTAACTACAGAGCGACTAGATACTTGGGGAAACTATGAGCACATGCAGGTATGCTTGGTTTGGATTACACCAGTATTGTTGGGTAGATACTTAAATGACTTTGTAGATCTCATAGTTTGAGTCTTCTGTACACACTACCATGTTCCCTTTCTAAGTTCCAAAGAGTTAGAATTTATGGCCAAATATTCATGCATGTTAATCTTTGCTGTCTAGTCTACTAAATACTACTTTTTGTTGCCTCCCCCCCATGTTTATCATACTATTCTATTTTACTATTATTTATATCCTTCTATTCTCAGTTCTACTTTCAACACTGAAAGGCAAACATCAAGGTCCTGCCACCTTCTATCTCTATTGCCACGGACAAGTCTTAGACACGAAAGATGCTTGCGACACACTGGAGAGGTCAAAGACGTTGTGCTTTAAGTCAGATGTTGTAGCCCATACTCCTGCTCCCTCACCACCTCCTATGCCAGCACAAGATCAGATTGGACCCTGGAATGGAATGGCAGCTCCACAGAAGTGTGCAGATGCGTTCGCTCTTTCCTCTCTAGTCACATCTCACGATCCACAGTGATTTCCACCGTTACTCATGAATCCCAAGCATGCTATCATCTTCTGCTTAACTTCACATCATTGGCTTCTCAAAATGTACCACTTAAGACTCATACTTAGCAAGAGTTTTCCCTTCCAAAAGTTATCCACAGAACCTGGCCTTACTGTATAAACATGCACAATCAGGGATGCTCGTTCCAGGCTTTTATAGGAATGAATCAACGATGCAACAGCAGGGGAAACGGCAGGCATAGTAGGAGCTATCTACACACCAAAACACAGGCTAGCTATTTCTAGAGTTAGTTGGTTTCTATGTTTCAACAGGAAAATGGCACAAATTGCAATAATCAAAGAGAGAGAGAAAAATAAAGGACACTGCCATAATTCTGAAAATCAGTTATCGGTTTTAAATTATGTTATTTTTGTTGCCATTTTCATTAGACAAATATTCTTCTGCTACCCATCTTCTTCTTTTTAATAGGAAAGCAATCTGGAGGTCCTGTGTCAGTTTTGAAATGTGGAATGTAAGGTTATATAGATTTTTACGCTGTGTCATATTTTCCCATAATTTTTGAGCATCTAAGAATAAACACGTACTCTGACTGTCAAAAAGGAAGGAAAATAGAGGTGGACTCACTTGTGAAGAGCAGATGAGGATACCTCCCTGTTCTGGACACTGGTCTTCCTTCTATGAATACATGAGATGCTAGAGGAGCCATCTGAAGTTTAGTATGGGTTTGCATCAGTTTGTGGGTGGAGAGGGAGTAGCTAAGTACCTTCCATGAAGCTGCTAGCTGCCCCCTCCAGGTTTCCCAAGCCCTCATATAATGGAATGTCTACAGATAGCAATTTTTTCTAACACTCATAGTTTTTCAGGTGTCTTGTGTAAAAAATATGACAAGAGCAGGATTGCAGACTTTAGTCTTTAGAATAAGTCACAGTGTAAATAAGACTCTCATTTAGGTCCAATCGCTTAATTCTAACACCTTTAAAAGGATGGAGCTTTTTCCTTTCATCTTTTGAGGATGAACACCCAGGAAGACATACAGATATTTCTAAGAAATCGAATGGGAAACAAGGAAAAAGATAACCTTCTGTACCATGGAATGTTCATTAGTGGGCCTTTGTTTATTGGCACTTTAATATAAAGTACAGCATCAGTTTCATAGGATCTAATCATTTTTCTTAGATTGCAAATCATTCATTTTACAAGTAGGTCCACCTCTCTTCTAGTTCATACCATGGAACAGGGGAAAAAGACGCAGATAATGCAGACTGAATGGACAATGTCTGTGTCATGCTTCTATCGAGAGCTGACTTCCAATCGTAACCGCAAATATTGCTCAGCCAGCAAATCTGTGGCCTCATGAATTTGGAAGTCAAATGTTCTCTGAAGCAGAGGGAATCACGCCAGGACTCCATATGGCACGGTCTGCTGCTCTGTGGTAGGGACGTCGCAAACTGCTGGAAGGAGTTCTACTCCTTTCTCAAGCCTGGTGCCTTCTCACCACATTCTAATGGTGCTTTACTGCCAGTGGTTCACACAGAAATTCATTAACCGTGGAACGGGAATAACAAGCTGTTCACCGCCTTTACTGCACAGGTGCTGTAGAAAGCAAAACATAAAAGTGGGCGTGTGTCTTTGAAACGCCTGAGCTTCATAGGAGGGTTTCTTTTCCACGGAGGGAATGACTGTTTTGGGATCGGTTTGCTTATCATGTAGCTTGGAATGGAAATAAATAAAATATGTATTACTAGTGTCAGAAAGAAAATATGGGGAATAGGGTGCAATGGGCAGAGAAGAAAAGCATTAATAGTTACAAAGTCGACTGTTTGTGTAAACCATGATGTTTGAGTTTCAGTAACCACATGCTACTGTCTGAGCTTTTGCACCTTATGAACACATGTTTCTATATACATTTATATATTAAACATTGTTATGAAAACAAATTTAAGAATATTTGAGTCAAGAGTTGAGGATAATTTCATGGTAAAATGGTAATGTCTTGTTTGAGATTTCTAACATGCTCAATAAATAACAATTTTAAAAACATCCTGGATTTAGAGGCAGTTATCTATTTAAAAAGTAAAATGCATTTTCTCTTCACATTTATGTAGTATATTATAAGCTACCACACTATATAGGATATAAAAGCATTCCAGAATATCGGTAAAATGTCTTAGAATCAAAGAGCATATTTCAGATTAGCTCATTCATCAGAATTTCTAGGAAGAAATGATCATTTTGGTACCAGGAGATGGCTCACAGCTTTTGCCATACAGCCCAAAGACCTGATTTCCATCACCAGAATATCCTGGAAACCTATATAAAACCCAGATGTGATTCACACATCTGTATTCACAGCCTTCCCTTGGCGCAATGGGAGTAAAACTGGAGAATCGGGTGGAAGCCCGCAGGTCAGCTAGTTGGAGTGTGTGTGCAGCAGAAACAAGAGAGGTGGAAGTTCAAAACCAGCTCCTGAAAGTTGTTCTCTGACCTATACATATGTACTGTGGCAAGAGCATATGCACATGTGCACACACACGTGCGCACAGACATGCACACACATAAAACAAAAAAGTAAAAAAGAAGCAGAAATGCTTATTTTCAATAGTTTTAGTTACTTTGAATCTTGACACAGAAGATTAAGTTTCTTTTTAGTGCTGTGATGGCAGAGCACGCACAATACCTTCCCAGACTTCCCGAGTAATGTAAAGGAAATGACAGAATCTGGATGAACAATTGATTAGACACATTGGTTTCCAAGGAAACTGGTCAATTCCACTGTAAGGAGAGAAGCTCTTTATGAAGTGAGATGAAGGGAATCCTGACCTACCTGCTTTTGTGACTTCAGCTAGGGCTAGCACTGGGGTGCATGTTGTCTCAAATATTAGCAGGGCATTCTCTAGCATTTATGTTTCTGTGCCGTGTTCTGCTAAACACAGTCATGTGGCAAACACCATTTCTGTCAAGGCTGGGACACATACACGCTAGAAACTGCATAAGATTATATGGCCAGGGGACTTTGCAGCTCTCATCGTTCGCTTTGTGATATTCACAGAGTGACAAAATGTTGTGCCTCTGGCTAAAGCCGGAGTCTGTTAGATTTGTAAACATCTTAGTCAGAATTACTTGAGTACCAAGTGCTCAATTACTCATGACTTTTGGAACAGCCCTCCATGTGGGTTCCCAGTGGCAGGTTTCATGTGCAGTCTGGCTGCTCTTCAGCTCCCAGACCCACACATCTATTCTGGGCACCCAGCATCCTACTTCAAATAGCGCCTTTATAAAACTCTTGAATTTTGTGACTTCCATTTAAGAATCTGGAAACACGAAGGCATCAGTTCTTCTTGGTTTATGCTCAGAACGTCAGCCTTTTCTTTTCAGCATCCCACTTCCTCTTCTTCAATTATGGCTTGTCTACTCAATAGATGTTTTTGACCCAAATAGCCAAATGTGCCTGTGGCTAAATCTTAGCTGGTGTGAGACTCGGGGTTCAATCCTAGTGCTGACTACCAGCAATGAAATCAGATTATATATTGGGAACTATGTTTAACGTAAGTGATCGCCAGGCAACCTGGAACCATGAAAACCTGAAGGCTTAGCTTCTTTACCTGCACAACCACTTATTAGAATGACATCTTATAAACTTCCCCGGTTGCCATCAAACCTTGGCTGGCATTTCTAACCTGTGACCCCCAGACCATATGGAATCCCATGCGGTCAAAGATAGTAAGTAACTCGTATAGCCCAACACAAAACTTCCTAAAAACATTATGGGTCTTGAGAATTTTTTTTTTCTTCTGTAACTCAGCTGAGAGGCTCTTAAGCAGGCACTCTGGGGATGACGCCATTCTTTTGTAGGGTTAAAAGTCTGGCCATGCCTGCTAAGGTGGTAAAATATGCACCAAGGTTCCCTGAGTTTCTCTGCTGTGCTTCTAAGAGGCTCACAGGTGTCAGCCCTGCAGAGGCTTCGCATGAAGGGGTCAGGGAATAGCAGTGGCCACTGTGAGGTCACAGAAACTTCTAGAGCCTGGTTATCTTTGCTCATAAGTGACTGTTTAACCAGAAAGTAGCAGAAGGGATAGCCTGTTAGCAGCAAAAGGCCGTTTGAAGAGTGTATACCGGTTGACAAACCCCTCAGAACAAGTGAGAAGAAAAGCAGCTGCAAATGAACACTCCACAGTTTATCACAAATGCTCGAGGCAACCAAGCCACAGCCTTGGCTGTTTCTCTGCGTGTGCTCTTTCAGCTGTTTTTAGCCATGAGCCTTACCAGTTTGTAGCATTTTATGAGGGAGCCACGTTATAGTTGACCAATTGATCTGGAGACATGTGTGCTCAAAAATGAAATCAGCGCTTAAAATAATGACAATAATGATGATGATGATGATAATTTAAAATAATTCTTGAAGACAAATCATACTTAGAGTCGAATTATATTAAAAATTCTAAAATCAGAATCAAACTTTCACTGCGTGATTTATCTTGAATTTGTCACTGTTGCATAAATTGTCCATACTTACACAAAAGGGGGAAAAGGGTTAGCTATTTAGCTATTAATATTCCAGATTTTTTTTTTTTTTTGCCAGTGCAAAAGTCCAGATCTGACCAGATTAAAAGCACATAAATGCAGGTTTATTGGATGTGGCTCCTGTGTCAGAGAATGGGCTCCTGTGTCAGGGAAGTCTCACACCTATGCTAAGCCAGGGAGGTTTTAGAGACTTTAAGCAAGGGGTAAGGACGTGCCAGCCAGGAGTTGGGGATGTGCACAAGTGTGGTCAAAAGTTAGGTCCCTGGGAAGGCACTTGGGCGCCACTTTTTTTGCTCATAGTTTTCTCAGTAGGGGTCCAGCTGGGGGAAGTAGGGCAGACATGGTTTCCCACCTTTTGCAAGGCAGGGGTGGGTGGGTAGGGGATCCAACTGAACATTTCCATCACTGAAAAGTTTATTAGCTTACTTTTTCATGTGATTTAAACAACTTTCTCAGGGCAGCTGATATACATTGTACCAAAGGAAGCCAAGGTACACACAATGAAAGACCACAGACTACTTTTCCTAATTGATAGCCCACGTTCACTTCCCTGGAATGCAACAGGGAAGAAAAATTCAAGATCATTAATGTGAACGTTTTGTTGTTGTTGTTGAGACAAGGTCTCCCTCTGTAGCCCAGACTGTCCTAGAACTCACTATGCTCACTATGTAGCTCAGGCTAGTCTCACACCGACACTAATGCTCTTGTCTCTGCCGCTCCAGTGCTAGAATTAAAAAGGTGAGTCACCACATCTGGCTTAACACATGCCTTTAGATGGAGAAAGGAAAGGCACGGCTCCTTCAGAGTTGCTGGCGCCATCTTTGTTTAGTAGGACAGGGCGAATGGTCCCACAGAGAGGCGGCGCAAATCAGGTGTGTGACACTGGCACTTCTTCATTAAGAACATTCATCATCATCGCTGACACACTGTGGTGTAGTTACTAAATATTATATAGTAAGTGTCATATATACCCTTGGGATTGTTAAGGCAACCCAAAAGACAGGCCCTAGCTTTTTTTTTTTTTTTTCCAGTTCATAGATGGAAAAAAATGAGGTTCAAAACAGTTCCTTTGCTAAGGACATATCAGCAACATGTGATGGGAATGGGATCAATTCAGCCTGTTTGACAGTCCAGCGCTAATATCCATGTGCCCATGCAATAGGTAAATAAGTTGGAGTTCTGTGAACTAGGGTTTCCATTCACTTAGGCAACTTATTTACTCTGTGGCCTTGGGAAATGTAATAGCTTATTCTATGCCCCAGTTCTTTTGTGGTAAACTACCCTCATGCCTTTTTGTAAACTGGGTTATTAGTGAAAATTCAAAGTCCATAGGAAAATGCCCACTTGGAACGTAGTAAATATTTAACTAGTGCTTCTTATTGTTGTCAGCCACAGGTGGTCTGCTCTGCTCAATGTTACACAAGTGTTTTTCTGAAAAAGTACACACCCTGCTAGTATGGGCTTTGTAAACTGGATTTTTAGTAAGGTCAAGTTTTTTTTTTTATTCTGTTTTTTTTTTTCTTTTTTTAACACGAGCATAGATTCTCTACCTTTGTGTATAGAAAAATAAAAATTAAGTAATGTAATGCAAGTCATGAATTTTTGGTCCAGAAAAAATACTATGTTGTTTAGCCATGTATTGCTTTGACTGCCTGAGCTCTCAGGAAAAGCAGAAATGGCTCCTGTTGAATGTTCGTGCCCAGTTAAGCTTGCTCGGTGAATGCCACTTACAGCAGTACTTTGGTTACCCTTTCCTCTGCTGTGCAGTCCAAAGAGGTGGCTGAGGGGGAAAAAATCAGACATATAGAGACTGGGAGTAAGCTGCCTCAGGGCTTCTGGTGGCTAGCAAACCTACCTTGCCAAGGAAAAGGAAAGACTTCCTGAAGTATCTTCTACCCAGGTTTGTCCTGGGGAAGACAAGAGATAGTCCCTAGTGGGAGTGGGGAATGGGGTGAGAGACAGCAACACTCTGAGCCCTGCAGAAGGGGCCAGAGGAGTGGCATTCCTGCGAAGATGGCCAAGGTAGGAAGGATGGGAAAAGAGGCTTTTCAGGGTTGTAGACTGAGGCTCGAATGTCAGTTGGATGGGGCTGATGACCAGACTAGCACCTGTGCCAGGACTGAAGAAAACATTCACCTGTGTATCACAGCCACTGCCCTCCCCGGGTGTTTCCAGCGCTTTCAGCTGTGCGGAAAGAGAAGAAGATGAACCAAAGTGGCTGTGGGGTCCCTGGGAGAGTATTTCTCTAGTACACGTGAGGTCCTGGGTTCTATCCCTAGGACCTGGGGTACAGATAAGGAAGGGAAAATAGAGGTGACTGAAAGGATTTCCTGGACCGACCACAAGGTAAACAAAGCAGGGTGGTAAGAGATCTCACTTGCGCACCCGGAAAGTATCCTGCGCTGCCATAGAATTCTGCTTTGGTCGCTCTTGCCATCAAGGTTCAGTAAATAAAGCGCTGGAGACGATCTCAAGAAGCAGTGTGTGGGGGCGGGACGACAAACGGAATCTGGGGTGACCTCAGAAGTCAGAATGAAGAAGTGTTGATAAACTGGTCTTGACTTTAAAGGGGGTAGATGACAGCTGCTCACTCCTGTCACAAGCTGGCTAAAGCAGGTGTGGGCTGAGGAGGCGGAACGCGGGGCGGTAAGTATCCAATTACTCTGCCCTGAAAACCAGGCACTTTCCTCGCAGTCCTGGGGCAACTTTGTGGGATGGAGAGTACTGATCCTCCGGCTGCAGGGAGAATAGTGTTCAGTCATGGGAAGAGAACAACTGGTTGTCTTCAGACTAAGCAAGCAGCCAAAGGTGTGGGCCTGTGTGCTATAAGGG